GACGGATCACTGACCCTTCACACTCATCAACATTATATTTATAAATACGCAGACGAACTCACTTTGCAAAATATCTTTATAGAAAAATGGCTGATAAAAATGCTAAGTTACATCGAGACGATTGTTTCTCACAGTCAATAAGTTTCATAACTATAACATTGTTCATTCCTCATACTGCATAGTGTGGATGTATTAGTGTTTAATCCTGAGAGTGAAACACATAATGGAGTAAAAATGTCCTGCTTTATTCCGACATTTAGTCATTTTAAATGCATAAAAAACACATTTAAGATGTTTATATCTGTTGTTTTACTGCATAATGAATATTAATAACTGTATATTAAGATCCATGTTTATCGATTACACACAGACATCAACCAGAATAAATCTGTATTAACTGTTTATCATTACATTCTTCAGCAAAGAACAACAGAATGACAATAAATTTGAAACTTGAACACGTTTGTCTTGATTTTGGGGCGGGACACTAAATATGCATTTGCTAAAGGAAATATTGTTGCTTGAAATACTAAAAAGTATATATATAAATACACACGATTACCGGTAATATATTGAAGATGAATGAACTTTAGAAGCATTGCTGACGTACACGTTAAATAACGCGATCATTAAACAGCATATTAATCAAAACTGCGTAATGTTACTGAATTAAATGTTGACAAAAACACTATTTTATCAGGTTTTTGCTCAAAATATTGCTTTTTTATGAAACTTACACACATTCAATTGTTGATTTAAAAGAATGCGTGAAGCAAAAGTCTCTGTTCTTGTTTGTTTTTTAATATATTTACAGGTGAAACTCGAAAAATCGTGCAAAAGTTCATTTATTTCAGTAATTCAACTTAAAAGGTGAAACTAATATATTATATAGACTCAAAGTGAGATATTTCAAGCCTTTATTTGTTATAATTGTGATGATTATGGCTTACAGCTTATGAAAACCCCAAAGTCAAAATTAGAATATTGTGAAAAGGTTTTCATATCTGTAAGCCATAATCATCACAATTATAACAAATAAAGGCTTGAAATATCTCACTTTGCATGTAATAAGTCTATATAATATATTAGTTTCACCTTTTAAGTTGAATTACTGAAATAAATGAACTTTTCCACGGGTTTCACCTGTAAATATTGCATGTTCAGATATTCATACAACAAAAATATACTTCTGGCCATGATTATTTTTTTTTTTTTTTTTTAAATATACATATATAAAAAATGCTGTCGTTGACTGGCAACTTAAAAACAATAAAACTGGCGGAAAAAGTTAAAATGTGGAATAAATGTGGGTTGAAGTTATTAGACTATAAAAGCATCACTGACTAAACGAGTCCGATTCAATCTTTATGAAACAAATAAAAAACGCTGCGATATTCAAGCAGGTGCTTCTTTTTATTTCACCATAAAAATCATATATATACTGTATTGTTAATCCTCAATATTTAACTCAACAGTTCAAAGGTCACGGGTATTAATAGTTAAAGTCCCCCTGTAGTCAATCATTGTATCCCTTAAAACTTTGATCACCAAAATAACATATTTAAACTTTTTTCCTAAAACAAAAAATCTTCACGTCTTAAAATATCTTGAATGTAACTCGACACCTTCGCCTCATTTAGTATGCGCGGCTCTATGAATATGCAAATGAGCCCCGCCTCCACTCACTCCCTCAGCTCAGAGATCCACTGGTTGACGATCACACGTTGATCTGATTGGTTACAAGGTCGTTTGTGACGTCAGAAACACCAGCGATTTCAAACCGTGTTTTTGAGACTGTCTTTGGTTCACTGCAGTTTTAAGCAGAAAATACTCAGCAATGCTGTCGACTTATGAACTTACACATGGTGTGTCTTATTAAAAACACCACAGTGGGACTTTAAACATATGTTCAGAGCAGATTTACCAAGTCAAACGTGAACTCACTGCAATACTAGAGTGCGAGTTTGAGGAATATGAACCGCGATCACAAATAAAAGACACAAAATGTATATATTTTTTCCCGTTTATTTCTTCAATGTCGTCGAGTATGAGACAGTGACGTGAAGACGTCGGTGAACAGTTGTGTGGATAAATGCAGTTCAGAGAAGAAAGTACATTAATAATAGAATTCATAAATGATAATTACAGTAATAAAACAGTCTGCATTGGTATTGTTAGTAACAGAGAAGAAGAACAAATGTACACGTGAAGGACAGGAGGCACCCGTGTCGCGCGGTGATGACATCATCAGCACATGCTCTTTCGTTTTGGATGGAAGGATTAAAAATGATGACATTTACACTTTTCAATCGTTTTAGTCAAACTAAGATGGGAGTTTGGGGGGGATTCGCCTTCATCCGTCCTAATAAACCAGTTCGTAACGTCCATTCCTCGACAGAAAACAGCATGTGAACCAAAACAAACAAAGATGGAGTCGCCGGTCGGCCCGTCGGGGTGATGATGATGATGATGCGGGCCAAACTTCGTCAACACCATCGATCGCTCGTGTCGAAACCGTTCGTCAGATCCGCCTTCGCCTACAGGATGAACTTTCCGAGGAAGAAGCCGATGAAGATGGCGGCGATGACGACCAGCAGTGAGGGGAGCGAACTGGTCGTGGACTCTCGGCCAATCGGAGACCTGGAATTGGTCGTCGCGTGTTCGCTGCGCTGGAACTTTCTCAGTCTCAAACCCTCGTCCTGATGACCAACACAAGCAAAAACAGCATTAGTGTATCTGATGAAGAGATGCATCATGGGATTAGGCCGTTAACATCGTGTTCTGTTACAGAACAAAAAACTCGGTAACACTTTATTTTACAGTGTCCTTGTTACATGTGCTTACCGTAGTAATAACAGTAAATTATGCATAATTACATGCAACTAACCCTCAACCAAACCCTATAGTAAGTACATGTAGTTAATTAATATTACTCAGCACTTAAATATATAATTACATTGTAACCAGAAACTCTTTCATTAGGCTCCTATTGGGATTGCAAATGTTATTCAGCTTTATCCAATGGGAGTCGCAGCGGAGGAACATTTTCATGGTTCCTAGAACAACCTAGTCAACCGTTCTCTGAGATTTGTTTTCATGATAATCCGTTTAATAAGAAGATACAGATAAAGACAGTCCACTTCGTGTATACAGACAGGAGCCATCTTTGGAAAACAGTCTCGACTAGTCAAACCACGAACGACGTGCTAAGTGAGCTGAACTGTATGAATGTCGCTCGTGGTTTGATTAGTCGAGACTGTTTTCCAAAGATGGCTCCTGTCTGTATACACGAAGTGGACTGTCTTTATCTGTATCTTCTTATTAAACGGATTATCATGAAAACAAATCTCAGAGAACGGTTGACTAGGTACCAATGTGTTATTAGACCAAAGGTTTATTTTGCGCCGGAGTTCTCCTTTAAAGGGACACTATGCAGCTTTTTTAGCTTAACTGAACAGCTTCAGAGTTATTGAAATGGTTATATAACTTCTTTCGGGTTGAATGGTGGGCGTCTCGACCCCCCCTGGTGCCTGTGAGCGAAAAAATCCCACTTGCAACTTCGGTGCGGCGGGCCGCGTCAGGAAGTATCGCGTGATATCAGCTCTCGCGATGTAACATATTCCTTTACGGCAACTGCACACACACACAGGAACAAGGTATAGATGGATGGAGTTTGTCACACTATCGTCATGGCTGAGCCGGCATATAAGATGCAGAAAGCTAGGAAAGCATTGTCGGAGGAACAGAGAAAGAGGAAACGGCAGACTGACCGAGCGAGGAGTCGGACACGAGCATAGGCATAATTTGTGGGTGTGTTATGTCCCCATTGAAACTTCTCGCGGCAAAGATGTACCATTACAAACAAATAAAACATCTCCAGGTAACTCTAGTAGAGCATTCATTTTGTTCGTTTGTTAAATAAGAGGCGATCTGAAATGTGTTATTTTTGAAATCAAGTGACCAAAGTGCTCGTTGCCTCTGCGGTCAGTGGTGCAGATAAGTTACAGTGTTCTGTTGTGACGCGCGCCTGAATCCGTTGCGGGGACTGAGAGACTCTCTATATTTTTGTTATGGTAAAATCACAAAACCTAATGCACAAAAAACATGTCCCTGCTTGAAATACAACCACTAATAAACAATCGGTTTTGATGAGGAAAATAAACTATACTATTAGTACCGACTAGAACCCAGAACCTCTGACACACTTAGCAAAAGTTCTGCCTCTGGACCATTAAAATTGTCGGATCTGTGTATTTAATCACGTGAAAATTCTCACCACTAACAACATATATAACGACAAATTAAACACAATGTACTATTGTATACTACCTATGTAACAGGCCATGTCACGCTCTGAGTGAGTGGTATTTACGACAGTAACGTTAAATTCAAGTACTCCACAGTAACTCTAGGGGTCGCTGTTTGACAAAAACGGGATTTCTGCATAATGGCCCTTTAAAGAGGAGCTCCTCTGTTCCATGATGGCGGCTCTATTGACGCATTCGTTCCAATGAACTGCCCTAGCCAAGGCCACATCTAGTGTATATATCTATGGGCCGAACGCACGCGGAACACCAGCACCCGCCATTTTTAAAAAGGCTGTGTAAACAATGGAATAGACAATCAGTGTGTATCTGTGGCAATCGCCAACAACACACTGTATGGGTCAAAATTATCAATTTTTCTTTTATGCCAAGAATCAGTAGGATATTAAGTAAAGATCATGTTCCATGAAGATATTTTGTAAATTTCGTACCGTTAATATATAAAACATTTATTCTTGTGAGTGGATGCAGCACAGTGGCGAACATAAATGCACACCTTTAAAAGGAGATTTTCTCAATGTTTCGATTTTTTTGCACCCTCAGATTCCAGATTTTCAGGCCAAATATTGTCCTATCCTAACACACCATACAGGTGAAACTCAAAAAATGAGAATATCGAGCAAAAGTTCAGTAATTCAACTTAAAAGGTGAAACTCATATATTATATGGGCTCATTACATGCAAAGTGAGATATTTCAAGTCTTTATTTGTTATAATTGTGATGATTATGGCTTACAGATATGAAAACCTTTTCACAATATTCTAATTTTGAATTTGGGGTTTTCATAAGCTGTCTCACTTTGCATGTAATGAGTCTATATAATATATTAGTTTCACCTTTTAAGTTGAATTTCTGAACTTTTGCACGATATTCTCATTTTTCGAGTTTCACCTGTACATCAATGGAAAGCTGATTTATTCAGCGTTCAGATGAGGTACACATCTCAGTTTGAGAGAGTTGCCCCATGTGACTGGTGAGTGAGCAGTGTTTGGTCACCTTGAGCTGGCGGTTCTCCTCTTTCAGCTTGATGGCCTCGCTCTGCAAGCGTTTGCACTCCTCCAGAACCTTCTTCTTCTCCGAGTCGTCCAGCGCGGCGCTGGCGGGTTTGGGTGGCAGCGACCCGTCCGCTTTAGAGGAGTTTAGCACGCTAGCAGATTTAGCAGGAGCGTCGACGTCGTTCTGGGGGAGAACGGGAACATGGGGTCAACTAGCGGCCCTCGAGATATGATGTGCCACGCCACACAACAAGCTTTGAGGCGCACTGAAATCACGGGACTTTATACTTTAATTCAGCCTGTATTTTATCCTTAAATTTAACATTTCAACAATAATATTGACCTGCCTGCATTGACACTATTATATGAGACCTGAGCTGGACGATCACATCACCAGAGCGGCTAATATAAATTAACTAAAGTAATAACTTTTTTACAACAAAATGAAAACTTACTAAAGCTGGACTGTGACGCCATTTTCTTCTAGAAACAAACTTTGTTGCATTATTTTCCTGTTATCTCTGTAAAGCTGTATAAATAAATGTGACTTGACTTAAAGAAGCTCGGAAAACCTGGAAATACGAGGAATCTCATTTAAAATGTGATTTCTAGACCTGTGATTATATATAAATATCTCTATAAAGTTGACCTGCCATGTTTCTCCTACTGACCCTGCCGACCTTTGACCTACCCTACTAAAGGCTCTGTGGGCTGAGCACGTGTCCTGCCTGCCCTGACCCGTGACCTCTGACCCTGCAGTGCTGCGGGCTCTAACACTGGCTGTGGCGGGAGTGTGTGGCGGCCGGCGGGACTCCGGCGAGCGGGTCCTCGTCCAGGCCGGAGCCGGAGCGTCACTGATCCAGTGGGAAACACTCCTGGCCTGAGAGCGCTGGGACGCAGCGGAGAAACAGGAAGTGATGCGCACGGGCGTGTGTGTGTGTGTGTGTCAGGGCTGCACAATTTAGAGGAAAAAAATAAAATCGCTCTAGGTTTGCTGTGTTTGTTTACATTTATTCAATTTTGCAGATAGTTTTATCCAGTGGCGTTTTAGTGGCGTACAGGGTTATTATAGTTAGCTAAAACCGTTAAAAAAAATTATTACTTGATACAAATAAACATTAACTGAAATGAATAAAAAAATAATATATATATATATATATATATATATATATATATATATATAAATATATAAATACCTAAAATGATTTTATTTCAGCTAGCTGTCAAAGCAATATTTCTCATTTTCATTTAGTCTAACTTGAGGTACTAAAATAACTAAAACTATTTAGATATATATATAAAAAACAACAACTAATAAAAATGACAAAAATACTAAAACATTCAAATTAAAACAGAAGATACAAGAATAAAAACTAATTCAAAACATTAAAAAACAATGTATAATACATTTTAAAATGTGCATATTTATTTTATCTCGATGATATTAAAATAACACTGATTGTCTGTAGGGCTGCATAATTTGCCCCATAATTGTATGATTATATATGAATTTTTAATTATTATTATTAAATATTAGTTTTTTTTTTTTTTTAAATAAGAAATAATATATTTCACCATAAAGTAAAAAATATTAACTAGGAAAAATAAAATAATTTTAAAATACTACTATTTACTCATTTTGGAAAGTTAAAACAAAGCTTTTATTTTGCCGGAAAACCGCAAGAACCGTTTATTTTTAAGCGCTTCTCATAACAAGTTGATGAATATGAATATGCACATTATCCAGCTTATTTTGCAAGCTATTTTATGTGAATGTGCGTTTTATTAGCCGCTGTATGCAAAACAAATAAAATAACTGGAAGAATAGCAAAGTGCAGTACACGGTACAACTATTTGCGCTACAAACCAGGGTGTTTATGATTATGATAAATTAAAATAGCATGATAACAAAATACCAGCTTGCCAGATCCAGCAGCGACAGGAATGTCAATCAAACTCAGAGCAGACGCAGACATTAGTGTAGATGAACACAGTCTCGCGCTTCACTCTGAAATACGCAGTGCATTTATTTATTTAAATTTGCAATCTGATAAATCTCGGTATTATTTTTATGAATCATGCAGCCCTCGTGAGTTTCAGTGTAAAGCATGCAAGGGAAATTACATTAATACTGAAAACAAAACTGCTCACTTCAAAATGTGAATAACTTCAAAACTGAAGAATCTCAAGTTACTGTAAATAAATAAATAAAAAACTGCAGTAAGTGATTTCAGGCGTTATCTTTTTTAAAGACGTGCACATATTAAATTAATAATGTACATTCCTACTTATCAAACTCATTTAATGTGAAAATAACTCTGTACCTGAAACACGTCCAAATGCAAAACAGGCTTAAAATATACGTTTGCTTTATTCAATACTAATATCAATATATGCGCATTAGAGGTTAATACTGGATTTTGCTGATATGATAATGTTTGGCAATATGAAAGGCAATAAACTGATTATTGTGCTTATATACTAGTAAAAATCTATATATTGAATGTGTTAAATACTGTTTCTAATTATAAAAAAAAGCCCAAAACACGCAAGCAGGAAATATTTCAGGAAAATAAAATCACTCACAGCACCTTAAAAGGTGAAGTTCTGAGTCGAGCTTGTTCTGCTGTTCACACACGGTTATAACTAGGGATGTCCCGATCAGGTTTTTTTGCCCTCGAGTCAGAGTCATTTGATTTTGAGTATCTACCGATACCGAGTCCCGATCCGATACTTACCAGTATTTAATACATAAAAAAAGAATAAAGAAGAGAGAAAAAACAGATCCAGGATGTTCTTTATTTTTTATTTAATTCACCTTATTTTAACATTCAACAATTCTGTTAACAAACAGAGCACTTCTGTGAGGCAGCTTGAACAATCAAGTAATAAATAACATAAAATCTTCACTTTTGGACTTTAGTGCAACAGTAAATATAGAAAAAGTCTAATATAAAAACAAATAGCACCTCAACTTAAAATACCCGGCAGGCATGTAAACAATTTTTTTTATTTTTTTTTAAGTGTATAAAAAAAATAATGAGAATATATATATATATATATATATATATATATATATATTAGGGGTGTAACAGTTCACAAAATTTGCGGTTCGATACGATACAGCAAAAAGAAAGAAATGCCAGAGAAATTTCCTATTTATTAAAAGAAAAACTATTTATAAATAAGTTTGAGTTTTCCTACATCTTGAAACTTTCAGGTTTATAAATGGGGGTAATCTTTGAAGGATGAACAAATAATGTTTTGGTAATCACATTAAAAATAACATTTAAATATATATTTATATAATGTTTGAGTTTTGAAGTGCAACATTAAATCCATGTTCATTCACGGCACAATGTTTCTCCTGGTGTCCACGTCAGCGCTGTTTGATCTAATAGAGATCTACGGTTAATGTGAATGCTTCTCACTAGATCTCGCAGCGATGTTATTACTTCAGTGGTGAACTCAAATGTTTTCTTCACCGGATCTCTCAGCACAGTGTCGCTTGATCTCGCGCTGCACAGATGTTGCTGGTCCGAACTGATAAACGGTCCGTTAAGCACAATATAATGAGTAGCGCAGTTTCGTTCCGCTTTCATTACGCTTGCCATTTGATGTTGCGCAACGTTGTGGTGATCGCGCCAGCGCGGATTACCGAACCGGAAGCCTCGTACCGAAACGGTTCAATAATTACGAATACATGTACCGTTACACCCCTAATTTACATATATCCAAGTCCTGATCGGGAGGTAACGTCCGATTCCGATCGAGTCTGAAACCATGTGATCGGATCGGGACATCCCTAGTTATAACTCAGTTTACAGCGGCATGTGAGAGGGTGGAGGTAAATACACACGCTCTCGTCTCCTTTCTGTCGTCTCTCTGAACCACACACACACACACACACACACACTCACCACTTTATCGTTTTCAGACGGCAGCTCAAACACGCATCTGAGTTTGGAGTCCATGAGCTCATCTGGTTTCGCGTCTTTCCACTGAAACACATGAAGAACAGGCAATTCATCAACTACTAGCAGCTGACACACACACACACACACACACACACACACACACACACAGTCTGACACACAGTCTGACACACACACATAAAGTAAATACTGACAATGTTTTGTTTGTTGGCCTGTTGTGTATTAATCAATGTCACGTTTCCACTCGTGCACTCACAGTCTCTCTCTCTCTCTCTCTCACACACACACACACACACACACGCTTGCACACACTCTCGACTTCACTCACTCACCAAGGCTTCTGTGTCTGAGAGGGTTCCAGGGGCGAAGATGGCCTGCACCATGAACTTGTGTTTGCTTTTCTCGTTGGGGTCGTAATCAAACGGCTGCAGCATAACTGTGGGAAACACACATATTAACAACATTAACCGCATTTGTATACACTCATGTAATACATACGGTCTGGACTAATCTGCACATAATCAAAAGTTAAAACTTTAAAATTATTTTGCACAAGAAACAGTAAATAATCTAAATATGACAATAGTAAAAGCTCACATAACTAACTTTCTTCTGTGGAACAAATGGAGAAATTTTTAAGATTTTCAATCATAATGAAGGAAGTTTTAAAGCTTCAAAAAGAACAATAAAGCATCATAAATTGAGTCAATATTCATAAATAGAGTTTATGAGCGAAGCACCAATGTCTGATTCACAAACGAATCATTCTTCTGAGTCTGATCTGTTCAATCCCTATTCTGAACGATTCGCTCACTGAAGAGTCGACTCGCTGAAGTCTCGACTCGCTGAAGAGTCGACTCACTGAAGAGTCGACTCGCTGAAGTCTCGACTCGCTGAAGTCTCGACTCGCTGAAGTCTCGACTCGCTGAAGTCTCGACTCGCTGAAGAGTCGACTCGCTGAAGTCTCGACTCACTGAAGAGTCGACTCACTGAAGTCTCGACTCGCTGAAGAGTCGACTCGCTGAAGTCTCGACTCGCTGAAGTCTCGACTCGCTGAAGTCTCGACTCGCTGAAGAGTCGACTCGCTGAAGTCTCGACTCACTGAAGAGTCGACTCACTGAAGTCTCGACTCGCTGAAGAGTCGACTCACTGAAGTCTCGACTCAATGAAGTCTCGACTCGCTGAAGTCTCGACTCGCTGAAGAGTCGACTCACTGAAGTCTCGACTCGCTGAAGTCTCGACTCGCTGAAGTCTCGACTCGCTGAAGTCTCGACTCGCTGAAGTCTCGACTCGCTGAAGTCTCGACTCGCTGAAGAGTCGACTCGCTGAAGTCTCGACTCACTGAAGAGTCGACTCACTGAAGTCTCGACTCGCTGAAGAGTCGACTCACTGAAGTCTCGACTCAATGAAGTCTCGACTCGCTGAAGTCTCGACTCGCTGAAGTCTCGACTCGCTGAAGAGTCGACTCACTGAAGTCTCGACTCAATGAAGTCTCGACTCGCTGAAGAGTCGACTCACTGAAGTCTCGACTCAATGAAGTCTCGACTCGCTGAAGAGTCGACTCACTGAAGTCTCGACTCACTGAAGAGTCGACTCACTGAAGTCTCGACTCGCTGAAGTCTCGACTCGCTGAAGTCTCGACTCGCTGAAGTCTCGACTCGCTGAAGTCTCGACTCGCTGAAGTCTCGACTCGCTGAAGTCTCGACTCAATGAAGTCTCGACTCGCTGAAGAGTCGACTCACTGAAGTCTCGACTCACTGAAGAGTCGACTCACTGAAGTCTCGACTCAATGAAGTCTCGACTCGCTGAAGAGTCGACTCACTGAAGTCTCGACTCACTGAAGAGTCGACTCACTGAAGTCTCGACTCACTGAAGAGTCGACTCACTGAAGTCTCGACTCACTGAAGAGTCGACTCACTGAATCAATGATGGATGTTTGTGGATGATTAACAGTTTGGATTTGAGTCTGTTCTTCACACAAATCCTGGAATATAAAGCGCGGTTTTCCCTACATACTCAACTAAAAAATTCAACATAATATCTGATTGACGTTAATCTTATAACCAGTGTTGGGGGTGTAACTCATTACAAGTAACTTGAGTTACGTAATCAGATTACTTTTTAAAGTAACTAGTAAAATGTACAACAAAATATCCGAGCGCAGACGAATGTAACGATGAGCGCGCCAAATTGGACACGAGGCTATATCTCCGCAAAACTTTAGTGCATTGAGACGAAAATTGGTGCATGTCATCAAAAGCATCATCTGAGGCTACATGCAGCGTTTCGGCACAGCGCCACCTACTGGTCAGGAGATATGAAAAATCTTCTTGCTTATAACTTAAGAATGGTTTGCTTAAAAATGGATAAAACTGGTCTCTTAACTCAGTGCAGCATTTTTTTTATGGTTTTAGCTTTAGTTAACTATGATAACCCTGGCTAAAATGTGCCGTCGGAGAAGCACGAATTAAAGACCACCATCTTGGCCAACATTTTCGGCTCTCCCAAACCGTTTCCATAGAATATGAATGTTCTTTTCTGGCTGAATACTTTGGGTCCTGTGTTGTAACCAAGCGTCAACCTTCCTCTCTCTCTCGAATCAAAACTGAGTGATTTAAACTGCAGTTCCTCCACTGGCCACTAGAGGCCGGCTGCAGAAGAAACTCAATCCCATAGACCTGCATGTTAAAATGCCCAACTTTACAGCAGAAAAAAACATGTTTACAGTCTGGTACAAAAAGTGGTTTTGGTCTATATAGCTAATCTTGCCCTTCATGACGACTGTGAGGGGGGTGATTTATTTTATAACTCATCCGTTTAAATTATATTAAGCCTTAAAGTTCTGCGTAATTAGGGGCGTGGCCACTTGAGTGACAGGTGGATTGCTGCTGATGTCACTGCTAGCCATTTGTTAGCGTCACGTCACCTCAGCTAATCCGCCTCGCTGCACGTTCGTTTATCCGCGAGTGACGCGCGGCCAAGATGGCGACGGCCGGCTCCGCCCACTTTGGGCTTCAAAAATGCTCTTGAGAAACACTACGAGTGACGTCACACACACTACGCCCATATTTCTGTAGTCTATGGTTCTAACCTGAGATGGTGAGCGTGGCTCCGGGCTCGATGATCCCGCTGTTGGGCCGTACGCAGTATCTGCGCGGCGCTGTGGTCTTCACTTTGAAACATACTTTCTTCTCTGAAGGATTCTTTAGCTTCAGGTTTGCAGTGACGACATCTGTGAAAGGACCTGAGAAGAAGAGGAGAACATCACGATATGAACATTTTGGCCGATAATTCATAATATCGGAAAAGCCGATAACCGATATATTGGCCAATAAACCTAAAACCACATTTTTATATGATTTTGAGAGCCTGATCACAAAAACACAAGTCTCACCATTAAAAGTCACATCCTAAACACACAATTATGATGTTCTCATTATAATTTTATGAAGCTAATATGACAGCACATGTTGCACTTCACTGTATTTCCCTTTTTTGAAGTGATTCCAATCATTTTTTCAAGCAATTCTAAACCATCAAGGTGAACATCTGAAGGAAATAATCCATTATTTATAATCGGTTCTAATATATCGGCCACATTTTCTTATGTGGGGTCGAAAATGCTCGCATTAAAAATAAACATGTATTGCCCGATATCGATGTGGTGGCCGATATATCGTCCATCTCTAATAAACATGCACACAAAATATGACATTTTATATCGTGTTGTTCTGAGTAAAATCTTAGAACATATTTGATATTTTAATATCCTTGTGAACTTTGTTGCAAATGCAGCATTTTCACTTTCAATATGGACTGATAAATCACAAACCATGTCACAAATAATCAGGTTTAACACAATATACAATTATAACGCTATTTTTTGTGAAAAAAAAAATAAGTTTAATATACTTTAAAACAGTTGTTATTAGGTGTAAGACTGTACTGTTTTTATTTTAACCCTTTTTTAAATGTACAGCATGTTTTCACAGGCTTTATATTACACATGAGCAGAATGTGGAATAACATTGTTTAAAATAATGGATTAATTATGTTTTTTAATGTATAATAATTTCGATTTTTTCATCCGATTACTCGGAAAAAAAATCAACATATTAAACGATTATCAAAATAACGGTTAGTTATGCATGTATTCATCTTAAAATGACTGTTAATTAATAAAAATTATGTAATGATTGTAACGTTTACAAAAAAAAAAGTGAATATCTCGTTCTTCATTATTAACAATGTTGCACATCAACATGAAAATCCAAAATGGACCATCTTTACCGACACGTCAAACGGAGAGACTCGAGCACAAAGACTGCAGTGTGTGAGACGCTCACTGACGCCTGCCGTTATTGAATCATGCAATTCCCCAATTACCATAAAATCACAATTTACAGGCATTTCAGCTGCACCGTTTTTGAAGGTCGTTTAAAGAGAGCCACAAGTCAAAGACCGTCTTTAAACCTCGTATGACTGAAACCACATCACGCCATAAACTCCCACAATGCACCGGGAAAACAACGCATCAGTAAAGTCGTTAAAAAAAAAAAATCAGTTAACGTTTATTTTATTTCAAGCAACAAAAATGTGTGTGGTTAGTGATGTCATTATGGTAAATGCAACTTTTATATTCATCATCGCAATCAAGAACACGGTTTAATTGCTGCAATCTGTGGAGCTTGAGGTCGTAGTTGATCTACAACATAATTTGATTTATGATTCAGACCCGGTTTAACTGCGTTCAGGTGCGGGAGAAACCTTCTTCTGTGCAGAAACATATGATCCATAAACGCTAATTATTCTTTAAAACGACATCACAACATCATAATTTGAACGATGTTAAAGATGTGAGTACAGAGGTGCTGTCACGACGTCGTTAGCAGAAGAAATGACATTAGCGGCGCAAGAAATAAAACCGCTTTAATTCAACGTCCTCCGTTTGTGAAATAATATTGTTCAAATTATACAATTATCACCTGCTATCTACTCGCACGCTCTGATAATAATAGCTTTGTGGGAGTAAACATTATTTTGATAATTGGTCAAAAAATAAATCTATTAAATCTGATTCTGTTGCATAGACTTGAATGAAGAATAATATAATGATATGAAAATATTGATATTTAATCTGATTCTGTTGCATAGACTTGAATGAAGAATAATATATAGATATGAAAATATTGATATTTAATCTGATTCTGTTGCATAGACTTGAATGAAGAATAATATATTGATATGGAAATATTGATATTTAATATGATTCTGTTGCATAGACTTGAATGAAGAATAATATATTAAGATATGGAAATATTGATATTTAATCTGATTATGTTGCATAGACTTGAATGAAGAATAATTTATAAAAATATTGATATTTAATATAATTCTGTTGCATAGACTTGAATGAAGAATAATATATAAAAATATTGATATTTAATATAATTCTGTTGCATAGACTTGAATGAAGAATAATATATAAAAATATTGATATTTAATATAATTCTGTTGCATAGACTTTAATGAAGAATATCTGAAAATATTAATATTTAATATTATTCTGTTGCATAGACTTGAATGAAGAATAATATATAAAAATATTGATATTTAATATAATTCTGTTGCATAGACTTTAATGAAGAATATCTGAAAATATTGATATTTAATATTATTCTGTTGCATAGTGTAAGACTGGGAAACTGGTTGAAGCTGGAAATGAACATTTGGCCTTGTAAGAACTGGTTGGAGACACTGTCTTGACCACATGGTCTATTGAAACAAAGGAACTTGCTGAAATAGCATTCGACCTCCCCCTCACGCAGTCTCACCTGATTTACATTTCACCCAGTAACAGCTGAAACTCACATGAGAATATATATATGGTTTGATGTGAATGATTATCATTGAGCATTATGTTTGGTATCATTTGAAATGTCTCAGGAATGAGTGGTACAAATGTCTCATTCCCAAAGTATAAAACAAAAGGTAATAAGGTTTTTTAAGAGTTTAGGGATATCCGGCACACAAATGAATGTGGTCTCCTACTCCCAAGGTGTGAACTCAATGCTAATTTCCACTGTTAGCAAATGTTACCATGTAAATTTACTTCTGCCCCCAGTAAGTCTGGGGGGATGAACACAGTACATTTCCACTGTGAATACAGGTTTACATATGAAATGAGGTCTGGCTATTTAATGGAAGGCAGCCATAGACTTGAATGAAGAATAATATATTGATATGAAAATATTGATATTTAATATTTTAATACAGGCCTATTTCTGTCCAATTTTTGTATTACTTTAAACGAAAGTGTGTTTTTTTAATGGCTTGTTTTTTATTATTATTTTAGATTCAGTAAAATTATTGAATTTAATTAAAAATTCCAATAATACAATTATAAAAAAAATAAAAAAAACGAATTTAAAAAAAGAAAGAAATCATAAAAGAAATCATTTTCGGTTTCGGTTTAATTAGCACGATTTCATATAAGCCTATGAGCTTTATATTGGCCACCAGAATTTGCACGGAAATGTATGTTTATTTCTGACAGAAAACCAGCATCTCTCCTCACAATCAAATCCCGCTCCAGCTTTTCCGATGGGCTTTTGGATCAGATGAACGGAGATGATGTGCAATTAGCCTTCAAAAGCCAGGATCTTATGACTGAGCATGTCACATATTACTGGATTAGAGGAGTCCCGCAGGATCAAGCGAAGCAATGGGTTTATTTGCGTAAACACGGTCCAGAGCACCAGATGCTCGACCTTGGGAATTAGCTTCTGCTGAACTTGTGAGAAGGAGGATCGTTGTGTGCAACATGAGAAGTAAATAAACTCACATCAGAGAAGCATCGGAGGGAATCATAATCATATGCGAAGGATAAGAGAAAGAAATCTAATCAGCAGGAAAAAAAAAGGTGTGTGTTCAGGTCAACGTTCATGTTTCCCACTGAACAGATTTATTTCTGATGCCAGATGACAATATCAGTTTTCTGTTCTTCTACTGTATTATTCGTTTAAGCTCAACTACTGTCATGATGGAGCAAGTTAGTTAAATAAATGATCCACAATGTTTTTCATGCAATTTTGAGTCTATTTTGCATCCATAACATTTCAGATTATTAGACAGAAAACATTACAAATACGCATTTAAGTTTTTATTTTATTGCACTTGAACTATTTGCATCTGTAGATTTCAATACATGTCTTTAAAGGCGGTGTATATTCTGAAGATTTGTTAATTTATCATATTATACTAAAAACATGGTGAAACTGCATAATATTTTCTGATTTATGAATTATGAATCTGGCTTTATTCAATGTTCAGATTTCTAGAAATGTATGCATATTTAATTAGATAATGCCTAATTTGCATATTTTAACGTAATATTTCAGGAAACCTGCAGTATTGGGATTAATCAACTGGGGAACGCATGGATAAACCTTACATGAACACATGGAAAATTTCTATTTCAAGCCAACAGCCTGCAAAAGCATCGCACTCCAACCAAACACGATGCCAACATGTGATTTCTGCGGTTAATAATCCACAAACCGTTTGAGATAAACATATTTAATGCATTTCGCTTCCACTAATGCAGACGCCAACCTGTGACTGCTAAATGGAGCGTCAATAAAACTCAATTGTAAACTTTTGCCTCAAAAAAACATCATCATGTGAACGCAAAAGCTTACATAAACCAAAGAGGCGAGGTCAACAACAGTTCACCGCTGAAGTGAATCAGACATGATGCTACATAACGGACACAATTGCATTAATTTCCCATGTCATGGTTTTTGGACAAGGCCATTACACGCACTGACCACACGTCTCGGGAACACGCAGAGTAAAGGGGCGGGGCCTGGGTGAGTTAGTCAGTAGTGTGTTAAACTGGCGGTTATGATAATCAGGGGCGGGACATTTCCCAAACACACTCGAAGCGCTCGACCAATCACAACACACTGCTTGATGAACTTGTCTTGTGTGATGAAAGAGAGATAGAAGAGGGAGAAACTAAAGAAATGGAGACCAGCTCCTAAAAAACTCTATTAGTCTAGTTTAATCTCCTGTGTGTGTGTGTGTGTGTGATTGTGGTTTCCTCATGTTTCAGGAGTGTATTCTGCGAGTTACGGGCCTGAACATGACCGCGTGGAATCCTCTCGGGAACGGACTCTCCTATGAAGACTTCTCTTTCGCTGTGTTTGCTCTGAAAGATGAGAATCAGTGTGTGTGTGTGTG